CGTTGGGTCTTAATTGGGTCAAAGACAAGTATACCAAAACCACCACCAAGAATTGAATTCATCTTCGATTTCTCATATATTTGTCTTAAATCAAAGGGGTTTATTGTATAATCGTCGGAGAGATTATTAGACTTTTGGATATTGTTTTGGATTCTTTGTGATCTCTTTTATGAGATGAAATTACTGATTTTGTGAAGATCTTAAGTATACTTTTAAGACCCATTTTTTATATTTAATTCGATTAGAAAATTAGAATGGTTAGAATCCTCTTGAAAAAGAAAAAAGAAAAAATCCTCTTGAAATGGCTACAAATGCTTTATTTTTCTTGTTTTGGCTCAACAACAAGTCTTTATTCATAAAGTAAAACCAGCTTAATACACTCTTTGCCATATACTGATTAACCCAAATTAGCATCATAAAATGAAGTTTAGGTTCATAAATTCAAAAAAATGAAATAGTTTCATTTCGTTACTCTATCCGCCATTTCAATTATCTTCCCTCTGATGAAAAAGTCTTCAATGTTAAAGTGTGGTTCGTGATTGGTCATGGTACAAAAGGTCCAAACATTTTTCTCCTGAAACCGCTTCAAGATTTTTAAAAATGTTCATCTTCTTAATAACACTGAGGCTTAATAAATATAGAGAATTCATCAGTTGTATTCATTATCTCCCAAATTCTATATTTTTGTATACAACTCATTTCATATCTGTAAGAGCGTAAGGTGATCACAATCACAACAGAGTCACCAATCATTTTTTTTTAATTATTTAAAAGCAATCAGGTACGCTTCCCAATAACGTTTTGATAATATATTTAATGGATAAATGCAAATTAAGAATTTTAATTATCATCATTAATTAAATGGTCAACTTAATAATAAAAGAAACTATAAGAAGATCCGTAAGATATCATATCATTTAACAGCAAAAAGAAAGAAAATCCAACGATCGATTTATTGCTTCACCACCTCTAGTAGCAGAGTATGGCGACTAAGGTGCCGAGACGGCAACTCTTCATCGGCGGTCAATGGACAGTGCCCGTGCGCCGGAAAACTCTCCCTGTTGTCAATCCCGCTACCGAAGAAATCATCGGTACCTTTTTTTTTCTTTTCCGTCAAATCTTACTTGGGGAACTTTCGTGTTTTGCTCATTTTTTAAGCTGGATCGATCAATTTTTCGAGTTTCGATTCAATATATGCTTATGCGCAGATTCAGATAGCTTTGAACCTCGTATGCTTTGGGATGATCGGAATTTGTTTTCTGTGTTTACGTTAGATCTGTGAGATTATATCTAGTTGAAATCTTGGATCTCCTCTTCTGCTGATAAAGTTACTTTGGATTGTTTTGAGTTACTTATGTTAAACTGAGATTGGTGGTGTTTTAGGTGATATTCCAGCTGCAACTTCTGAAGATGTGGAGCTCGCCGTGGAAGCTGCTCGGAAAGCACTTACTAGGAACAATGGAAAGGATTGGTCTAGAGCATCAGGTGCTGTTCGTGCCAGATACTTGCGAGCTATTGCAGCCAAGGTATCTTGATCAGTTTAAAGCAATGTTCCCTTCATGTGAAGCTGTATCAGCCTGATAATATATTTACTGTATAGAATCTCTCATTGGCATAACACGTAATGTTAATTGATCATGTTGTCATATGTACATCCATATCCAGGTAACAGAGAGGAAGTCTGAACTAGCTAACCTCGAGGCTATGGATTGCGGTAAACCTCTAGATGAAGCAGCATGGGACATGGTATTCTCGCTTTGCTTTTGTTTAACATTTTGGCAGTTTTTGTGATTCGAATGTCAAACATATTGTTGCTTGTAAACACTTGCAGGATGATGTTGCTGGATGTTTTGAATATTATGCTGACCTAGCTGAAGGCTTAGATGCAAAGCAGAAGGCTCCTCTTTCTCTTCCGATGGATACTTTTAAGGGTTACGTGCTTAAGGAACCCATTGGTGTGGTTGGGCTTATTACTCCATGGTATATTTCGTTGATAAGCTTCCTAGAAGTACTCTTGTATAAATTATCTTTTGTAAAGTTAGCCGATTTAGTTCACATTTGAAGTTATTGTTCTTTTACATATCCAGATTAATCTGATCTTCAGGTATTTTTTCTCCCTTTTTATACCGTGTTTTGGAAACGCCACCATGTATTAGCTAATAATCTTTATTTGTATTGAAGGAACTATCCACTACTTATGGCTGTCTGGAAAGTCGCTCCTTCACTTGCTGCTGGGTGCACAGCAATACTGAAACCTTCAGAGTTGGCCTCCCTGTGCGTATTTAATTCCTATTGATACCATAGCTAGTCATTTCAACTAGTATCTCATGAACTAGCCTCTGATGTGGTTTTACTTCAGGACATGTTTGGAGCTCGCTGATATTTGCCGGGAGGTGGGTCTGCCACCTGGTGTTCTTAATATTCTGACTGGTTTAGGAACTGAAGCAGGTGCTCCACTGGCATCGCATCCACACGTTGATAAGGTCTGACTGTATTCAATTTCATCTTTACCGGTATCCTGAAGGGCTGAAATTCAAATAATTGAAGATAGAGTATCTATTCTTTGATTCTGCTGGATTAGTTGGATTATTGATATTTTAGCCTATACCAGATTGTATTCACTGGAAGCACGGCAACTGGACGCAACATTATGACATCTGCTGCGCAGTTGGTTAAAGTAAGTCCAAATGTCCTTGTTGCTTTCCTTTGGAACAAGTTTCTATCTGAATTTTGTTTATTTCACTTACGATTTTTCGGGGTCTGTGTAATGAATCTTGTAATTTTTCTTTCCACCAGCCTGTTTCCTTGGAGCTTGGGGGGAAAAGCCCGATTATTGTCTTTGATGATGTTGAAATCGACAAAGGTTGGTGCTTTTGGAACTTTAAGAAAGCACACTACATGTATTTTTAACTATTGGTTGAATTAGTGACGACACTTTTTGCTCTCAACAGCTGTGGAATGGACTATGTTTGGTTGTTTCTGGACAAATGGTCAGATTTGCAGTGCGACATCACGACTTCTCGTGCATGTAAGTAAGCATATAATCTGCAATAGTCTCTGATTACAAATTCTCCATCGAGCTCTGTATGATATGTGACATCGAATAACACAGTTGCCCATTCACCCATAGCTGAGGGACATGTAAGTAAGCATATAATCTGCAATAGTCTCTGATTACAAATTCTCCATCGAGCTCTGTATGATATGTGACATCGAATAACACAGTTGCCCATTCACCCATAGCTGTTCTTTAGAGAAAGACTGTTATTTGTTATGAACTTAAATATATGCTGTGGAAAGAAATTTTCGACGTTCTCTAATAATGTAGTCTTTTTTAGTCCTAAAAAAGTAGCAAATGTGAAGACGTTTTTGAACTTCTCATTTACATGAAACCAGCAATATGTATTGTTGTTTTGATGAAAGGAAAATTCTGGTGAAATGTCAGGAAAGAATTGCTGACGAATTTTTGGACAAGCTGGTAAAGTGGACAAAGAACATTAAGATTTCAGATCCTTTTGAAGAAGGCTGTAGGCTTGGTCCTGTTGTCAGCAAAGGACAGGTAATATTGCTGAACATAATTGATATTCTCAAGAATTAACATCTCATGCCCCCAAAACCTTATTATCTATCAATTTGGGAAAGATTTGTTTAGTCAAGTCTTACATCTTAATCTTGTGCAGTACGAGAGAGTAATGAAGTTTGTCGCAAACGCTAGGAATGAAGGTGCAACTGTACTCTGCGGAGGAGCTCGTCCGGAGGTACGTGGCAGATAGATCAATCTTCTTTGTTTGTCCAAATTCTATCTAGAGTCCATAGCACTTAAAAAATGTTTTATATTTCGTTTGGCAGCATTTAAAGAAGGGATATTTTGTTGAGCCTGCGATAATATCAAATGTGACTACTTCAATGGATATCTGGAGAGAGGAAGTCTTTGGTCCTGTTCTGTGTGTCAAAACATTCTCCACCGAGGACGAGGCAATTCACCTGGCAAATGACTCTCAGTGAGTTTTAGATTTTCCTTCTTGTATTGAACAAGAATCTCCACTGATAATGTATTATTAGCATTTATGCCTGACTAAATTTGTATCTGCAGATATGGTTTAGCAGGCGCCGTGTTATCAAATGATCTAGATAGGTGTGATCGTGTTAGTAAGGTGAGTGTATCTAACTTTTCTTTTAAGCCAATAAACAAAAAAAACAGTTACTGCACGTATCTCATGAGTAATCTTCATCTCTTAAGTTTATGAATCCTGATCATTTCGTTTTTCAGGCTCTCGAGGCGGGAATAGTGTGGGTCAACTGCTCTCAGCCATGCTTCACCCAAGCTCCATGGGGCGGAACCAAACGCAGTGGGTTTGGCCGCGAATTAGGAGAATGGTAGGTCTTTCTCTCTCTTCTGCCATATGTGTCCATAGTATGTTAAACCTTATTATTAGTTAGAAAGATTGGATATTTTGTTGCACTTGATGTTGAATTGTAAACATATTTGCTTCCATTGTAGGGGACTTGAGAACTACTTGAGTGTGAAGCAAGTGACACAGTATATATCTAATGAACCATGGGGATGGTACAAACCTCCTTCCAAACTCTGAGGCAAACACTGTACTCCCCTGATATTTCCTTGAAAGATATAATAATGAGTGTACCAGTACAAACCATGGGGATGGTACAAACCTCCTTCCAAGATAATCTTTCTGTTATAGATACTGTGTTTTTTTTTACTTCTGAGATTCTATAAAAAAAGAAAAAAGATGATGGGAATGATGATGATATTTTAGTTTCTCTCTAAACAATGTCATACACCTCTATATAAGTTGCATACAACTAGGCCACTGGCATCAGAATGAAGCAAAAGACGATTGTTACACAGTCTACAGTGACTTCAGAAGCAGAGGTTGTACTCAATCGGCGAATTAACGTCTGATTCATTGTTGTGGAGAAACTAAACCCAGTGGTCAAAAAGAAATGTTCAAAGGTAAGAGAAGAAGTAGTATACATCTCTAATGGTGTTGTGATGTGTTTGGTAATGGATTCTTCTCGGTTAATTCGTTGTACCATGACTTCCAAGCGTCCATGTAATGTGCAAAGAGGTCTTTTAATACTGAAATTTTGTTACCAAAACAAAAAGTGAGTTATTTGTTTTGTTTTCTAGCAAAAATTGGATTATCAGAGCAAAATATCTTACCTTGGTTTTGGTAAGAGGGTCGATGATCCGAAACCAGATTCTCCACATCAAAAGCTCTCGTGGAGTTATCCTCCAAAGCAGCAGTTTGATGATATGCTCCAGTGGTGGCTGGTGCGAAAGGACCAAACTGGTAACCTCTTGATCCATGTCTTGATTCATGAGCATCAAAGCTTTTGTTATTATAAGAACTCTCTGCTACTGCATGTTTCTTCATCTTTAGCTTCTCATGGGTTTTGCTTCTCTTGACACTGACGTTTGTAAGATCAGTTCCGAATACTCTTTTCCTTGATTCCGCTTGTATCAAGTCATTGCTCAGCGTGAAAGTAGGCTCACCGTTGTATCCTAACCATTTGAAAGCTGGTTTTCTAGAATCTAAGGTGTGAGTCTGTCACCATAGAGAAACAGATCGTAAGACTAATTTCACAGCTATAGATCATAGATGGTTCCACAAATACCGCAGCTATAATATTTTTGAGTTTTACCTTCTCAATGAGATTCATTGATGACAAGACATTCGCAATATCGTAAAGCCGTCTCACTTTTGCTGCGGAAAAGTAATCAATGTGTCAACAAACGCATAGATCAAATTATGTCTCAACTGACAAACAAAAGGGTTGTGAAGATAATTACTTCTCATTATTGATGTATTGTGAGCATCACCAAGCAGTAATTTTGCAGCCTCGTCAAGGGAGATGATCCTAGCCTAAACAGTTTAAAGCACATTCAACCAAACAGATCTTTAGCAACTTGGTGAAAAACTCTCAAGTTTGTAAAAAAAAATCTTTTTATACTTCTCACTTACTTCAGAGCAAACAAAGAGCTTGATAAAGTTCTGAGTAAGCAATCCTAAAGATTTCTCTCGTCGATTATCTGTCACATATAACCAACCAACGAAATGTCAGGAAACCCAGTTTATACCTAATGAATCCTAACCATTCTTTGGCATAAGATCCAGGTGCTACTTAAATAATTGATTATAGATGGCTCATTCTTATTTATCACTTGGTACATCACTGGATCTACTTTGCAATGGATTTAAACTCTCTCTTTCTATCACTCTCTCTAACACACACACACACACACACACACAAAGTACCTATTTTGGATGGATCTGAAGATTGGGGAAGAGAGCCAGAGCCAGGTTTGGAGCTATCAGTCTGGCTACTAGAATGGGGCTGAGAAGACTCTTCCTCATCATCCTCATCATCAGATACCTGAAAATTTAGCAGATGTTTAAGCACAAAACGCATCAAGACAGACTTAAATAGAGACACACCCAATCCTAATCACTTACTTTGACATTCTCGTTGGTATAAAAACGGTGAAAAGTGTCCTTAGCCCCTTCTTCCTGCATCATGAACAACACTACCTATGAGAATTTGCTAATCGAATTGCAAAGAAATTCAAGAATAAACTAAGAAAAGAACTCACTTGTAACTCCTTTAATGCTGCTGGAATTGCGGCAAATCCTTTCCACGTATATTGATTTTTGGCTCTTCTTGTCAAAACCTAAAATTAGACCAGACTCGTAACTAAGCAAACATCACATAACAGAACAGATTTTACTAAAATCTGAAATACGAGAGCAATAGGCAAAGCAACAAATCTCACCCCAACACTCTCCAGCACATTAACTATATCATAGATTCTCCGTCTCTCAACTCCTGGGAGAGAAAAAAAAATACAAACTCCAATCAAAATTCAGATTTATGCGGAAATGAAAAAATTACATACAAACATCGGAAACTGGGTTTGGGTAAGAGAAAAAAAAAACCTAATTTTGTGGCAGCGTCATCAAGCCCAATCATTTCGATTCCATCTCGATTGTATAGAGCTAAGAAACTGGGAAGATGAAGAAACACGATTTGCCAATGAGAACAAATCAAAGAAGCAAACTTTAAGGAAAAAAAAGCACCAGACCGAAGATGGGATTAGAGAAGAAAGGTACTGACTTGGTACAAAGAAGGCCCAGTGATTTCTGCTTCCGGCTGTAGGAATGGTGTAAAGAGGAAGAAGATTCCGGCAAGGAAGGAGATAAAGAGAGAGCCATTTTGGGTTTCTCCTGCGGCAGATCTGACATGTTTGAATTGAAGGAATCGATGGATTGAGAAATCTGCGGAGGATTTTGGAGGGATTTAAGAAAAATTAGATTCGAAAAATTTGGGGGGAATTTTGGGAAGGTACGTTAAAAGCTTGAGCGCCAATTTGAATTCACTCGTTTTTTTTTGGCTCCTCCTTCTTCACACACACTCACACACTCTCCTCCCAAATGTGGTAAAGCTGTGCGCTTACGGTTTTCTGCTCGGTTCTGGTCGGAATTATCGGTTTTTCTTTATATTTTTTCGGTTTGGAAAATTTTCTACCAATATTTTTGGGCTCAGTTTGAACATTCATTATGCAAACCGAAATTACACATTTGTAATCAGTTTTATACTAACCAACTATAATTGTATAGATTAAATTGAAGATGTAAGGAATTTTGACTTTGTACGTTTTAATACTGATTTGGTCTAAATTTGGTTTTGGTTTAATTGGTTTTGGAACCTTTTGATTTTATAAGATTTGGCGGAGTTTAAATGCAAAATCTTTTTTTTTTAAATTAGATTAAAGTAATAGTGGTAATAATGGTAATATAATTAATCAAAGATAGACCTTGACTTTCCTTCAATGCCCCTAGAATTGTAGAGTGATAGTGCTTTACAGTTTTAAACTTTGATTACACGGTCTATCTTTGATTACCATTACTCTAAATTTCAAATGAAAACAAAACAAATTTGCTGTTTTGTCGTTCATCATCGAAGTTAAACCTTTTTTTCTTTGTTAAAAAGGTTTGTATATTTATTTTTTATACCTTTTCAGTGTTACCAAACTAAAGCGAATGCATCCTACCAAAAAAAAAAAAAAAAAAAAAGCTGATGCAATGTGACTGAATTGTGGGTATAAAATAGAATATACAGTACACTAAAATCATAATTAATTATGTTAAAAAGCCACTTTTTTATTCAAAAATATTATTTTCTGTGATGTTTCATGGGCCTATTTGGAAGCCCAAATGTGAAAATCCACAGTCAACGGGCCCAAGAAACACGTTTTCTCTCTCTAATTTCAAAATAATTGGATGGAGGGCGCGATGTTTCTGAAATCTCCACGACGAAGAACAGATTCTGCATCTTCTTCGATTCGTTTTCAGCACTTCACTTAAAACACAGCTTCTGCTTCTGCTTCTGCTATGGTCTCTAAAGAGAGTTGCCGCATCGAAATCCGTGCGGCTATTCGACAGCTTAGCGACCGTTGTTTATACTCCGCCGCAAAATGGTTCGTTTCTTAAAACCCTAATCTTATGCATTCTCTCCCATTGTTGCAATTTCGCGCTCAAGACTGCACTGGGTTCGTTGGAAAATGGAATTTCCTCAGTTTCCGGCTGTTTTTTTAACCTGGGCAAACTGTGAGTGATCAGAATCCGATCCCGGTTAAGCAGAATTGTTGATTCGGATACACTGTTGTCGCGGATTTGGTTTTCGGATATTATATTGAAATTCGGATTATTGACATGCAATTGTGTGGGTTCTATGTTCTGATATGTTTGAGATTTGTGTCCAAGTTTGAGTTCGGTACTGATTCGAATTCTTTGGAAAAATGTGTTCTTTTGATAGGAATTTCTGATTTTTGGCTCAGTCTCATATGTAAATTACGAGTAAAGTTTTCATTTTTTAGTACTCGCACTGTAATGCAATGGTGATGAACTATAGCCAGGTCCATATCTGACATGCCTTGGCTTTCACCATTGCAGGGCAGGAGAGCAGCTTGTGGGGATAGAGCAAGACCCGTCAAATTTTACACCTTCGAATACGAGATTCCAGCGAGGAAGCTCCAGCATCCGGAGAAGGTTCAGCACCAGTGAGTCTATTTCAACCCCACTTCCTTCCGTTGGCTTCTCTCAAGCAGCTACTCCTCTCCCGGAAGAAGATGAAGTGATTGATGGTGACTTTTACCTTTTAGCAAAGTCCTACTTTGATTGCCGAGAGTACAAACGGGCTTCACATGTTCTTCGTGATCAAAAGAGCAAGAAATCAGTATTCTTGCGTTGCTATGCTCTTTATCTGGTATGTTCTTTTTGTCCACATCTTCCTTCTCGGTTTAGCTAGAGCTTAAGTATCTTATGAAAATGGAGTGGTGGAGTGAACTTTTTAGAAGGGGTTCTAATAGATTTTTAAGGGGTTCTTTTAGCCTTGGCCTGTAGGTTGCTTATAATTGCAGTTATCTGTTGTTAACACAAGTATGTTGTATGACTACAAGAGATCTCACTGTAGTAAATTTGCTTATGGAATTATCTTATTGCGAGGGTTCATATATGTCACACACTGAAACCGATAGTATGCTGTAATATGTCATTCACTTTGTAATTGTGTCCATGAAGGCTGGAGAAAAACGGAAAGAGGAAGAAATGATAGAGCTTGAAGGCTCTTTGGGTAAGAGTGATGCCATTAACCGTGACTTGGTGTCTTTGGAGAGGGAATTATCAGCGCTGAAGAGGACTGGAGGAATTGATTCTTTTGGATTATACTTGTATGGTGTGGTTCTCAAAGAAAAAGGAAATGAAAGTCTTGCCCGGGCCAGCCTCGTGGAGTCTGTGAACAGCTATCCATGGAACTGGAGTGCCTGGTCAGAGCTGCAGTCTCTGTGTACTTCGATCGAAATCTTGAATAGCCTTAATCTAAGCAACCACTGGATGAAGGATTTTTTTCTTGGCAGTGCTTATCAAGAACTCAGAATGCACACCGAGTCCTTGGAGAAGTACGTTTATCTGCAAGGTATTTTCAGCTGTAGCAATTACATCCAAGCTCAAACTGCAAAAGCTCAGTATTGTCTTAGGGAATTCGACCAGGTTGAAATCATCTTTGAAGAGCTTCTGAGAAATGATCCCTATCGTGTGGACGATATGGACTTGTATTCTAACGTTCTGTACGCAAAAGAAGCATGTGCTTCACTGAGTTACCTTGCACACAAGATATTCATGACTGATAAATACAGACCTGAGTCTTGCTGCATCATTGGCAATTACTACAGTTTAAAGGGGCAGCACGAGAAAGCAGTAATGTACTTCAAGAGAGCCTTGAAACTGAACAAGAAGTACTTATCTGCGTGGACTCTAATGGGCCATGAGTATGTTGAGATGAAGAACACTCCTGCCGCCGTTGACGCGTATCGACGAGCTGTTGATATAAACCCTTGTGATTATCGAGCTTGGTATGGGCTGGGACAAGCGTATGAGATGATGGGGATGCCTTTCTATGCGCTTCACTATTTCCGCAAATCCATATTCTTTCTTCCAAACGACTCTCGTTTGTGGATAGCGATGGCTAAATGCTACCAGACCGAACAGCTTTACATGCTTGAAGAAGCCATCAAGTGTTACAAAAGAGCAGTGGACTATACTGACACGGAAGGCATAGCACTTAATCAGCTGGCAAAGCTTCACCAGAAGCTTGAACGCAACGAAGAAGCTGCGTATTACTTCGAGAAAGATTTAGATAGGATGGATGCTGAAGGATTAGAAGGACCAAACATGTTCGAGGCTTTGGTTTTTCTTGCTACACATTTCAAAAACCACAAGAAGTTTGAAGAAGCAGAAGTGTATTGCACCCGTCTTCTCGATTATAGTGGACCTGTAAGTTCTTTTCTCCATTGTTTAACACTTCTTATTTCACAAGGATCGAGATTATTACACGTAGTGTGACAAGATGTCGCATTCATGTTTTCAGGAGAAGGAGAAGGCAAAGAGCTTACTCAGAGGGATCAGAATGGCGCAAACGGGTTTTCCTTCGATGGATATTGAGCATCTTCCTCTCTAGTTGTATTGTAACCCAATACTCAAAAGCTCTTTGAGAGAGAGGATGTCTCTCATCAGGTACTCTTTGAATTTGTAATCTTTGTACACCATTGATTATCTATGCATCTGTTTTGTTGTCACAGCAGATTCTGGTTGTTTATAACCTAAGTTACAGATAATATATTTCATCAAAGATGGTTGTTCCGTGAGCCTTTGTTTTACATTTTTGATACTGTTTTCAATGATTTGGCCTCTTCTCTCTATGTGCACTATGACATTCAAGTAAAGTCCATATCAGATCTTTGGCATGCTTAAATTTCTCAATCTAAAAGAGAAAAACCATAACAATTTTAGCGAAACTATGAGCTTTACTATTCTCAAGATTCGATGTTTGTTATTAAAAACACTGCAGTTATGTTTGCAAACAACAAATCTCATACAAATAGTTATTCTTTGCCCAAGACTCAAGAGTGACTAACATAAGACGCAGCATAATAAGTCTCAGCTGGAGGATACATCATCACCAATGTGAGATTTGACAAATGAGGTTTATATCACATGAAAGTATATGAGAGATTCAATTCCAGAAACAATAGAACAAAGCGGGTCCAAAACCCTTGAAAATGGTGTTTTTCAGTATGTAGGATCAGTGAAGAACTTGTTGATTCCAGGCATGATCTCTGGATGCTTGTTGCGAACATACTTCCTCAGGAAATTTTCCTTATACTTCTCTCCCTCTGCATGGTTATCCAAAATTCCAGCAGCTCTGTTCTCCTTCGTTACTCTGGTGGATTCAGAAGAAGAAGAACAACAACAATCCTTTTAGAACCCTAACGCAATAAAGTTCAAAGTACCAAAAGCTCAACATCTTTGTTTCTAAAGGTTTTTGTTTTGTTCCATCCCATAAGCTTAATCTAATACCGATTTACTGGTTAACAAACTCCCTAATGAATCAATAAAGGATACAGCCTTTGAAATGATCCGCTAATGAAGAAGTGATTCCTATTTATAGAACTTGGGGTGATTTCGTACACAGTATCTGGACTAAACGGCTTCGTTTCAGTATTATAAAATATCTTCATGAGATTAGTCAGCAAGAGTTAGTCAACAAGAAGAGACGTTCAATGGTCCGAAGGGGCAATCTAAATCTCAGGAGGAAGATGAGGGAGATACAGACCTGACTTCAGGATTTCCGGTGATGTTCCTTATCAACGAAAACGCACAGATCCCAACGGCAACTCCGGTAGCGGCGAACAAGGGATACACCTGAGGGATAATAAACAAAAAATCAACAACGAAACACGTTCTCATATTGATTTACGTATACACAGGAGCCAAATCTAAGAAGAATCGATGCTAGATCTATGAGTAAGCCTTTACAAACTAGAACGAAAAACGCAGTAGAAAGAGAATCAGTGGATGCACTCGATCCGCTCGATTTAGGTGAAATCGGAGATTAACGAAGATCGATAAAGTACCTCGGGTCTCAACCAACGGCTCGACATTGGAAACGCAGAGAAGATAATCGGATTGAGAGATTTCAGGAAAGAGACGGCTTCTCTAAGAATGTTGAGAGACGTAAAGAGACCCCACGCCTTTTATTTGACTTTAGGTTTTACGTTTCTTCTTTCGCGATAGTGTAAGAAAAAAATAAACAATTATTATTATTTTCGGAAATTCGAAACTAATTTCTGATTGGCAGCGCGGCGTCCCGCTTGAAGCCAATGGTTTGTTGACATCTGTCCGTGTAGAGTTTCGAGGCACGGTTTCTTGACGCGCTACTAACGGGATGGCAAATGCCAAATGGGCAAGTTGCAAGATACGATTCTTATCTTCTTCTTTTACCCAAATACATACTATGAATTTCTTATATTTTCAACTGAAAACAGTTGTGAGTGATTTGATTTTTAAGCAATTTTCAGCAATTATGATCTTGATTATCGGAGATTACTCGGTCTATTTGATTTATCGTTGATCGTTTGAAGAATCTGTTTATTTGATTTGACTTCGTATATAAATTACTTTTGAAATTTCCTATGGATTATATATTCTCATTTAGTTTTATGGCCTTGAGTTGTTATACCATTTCACTAACTGTTTATATGTTTAAATAATTGTGATTTTCTGTCTCATAATACAGCTTGCAGAAATATGATGTCTTTATATACAATAATACTACAGTCCAATTATATCATTCGCAAACAAAAGATGTGAAGTAATATCTAAGCTTACAAAAAAAAAAAAAAAAAAAAAATCAATCAATCAACAAAAATTTCTACAAAAAAACAAACTCAATAATACTTCAGATTCAGAAGGAACAACAGCTACAAGCTACATAATCCTGACTTTCATAGTTTCATTGTATATAGGATATTCATGACTTGCGAGCTCTGTCACGCCAAGATCCTTGCTGTTTTGCCAGCACCTAAGTTCCAAAGTATTGGATTAACAAGCTTACGTAAGGACTGTAAAATCGAGCTCCAAGGATCGATTGCAAAAGACATAGTTTTTTACCTTTTCGCTAAGAAGACTTGCCGTGCCATTGTTGCTTTCTCCTTCAACGTCCTTTACATTACTTGTCTCTAAAACATCATCCTCGGTGTTAGCAGTAAGAGTTTGGCCTGTGGGTACTCCAAACATGGCTTCATCGTGGGCAGCTTTTAGTTGCTCTTCCCTTTTCGCCTGCGAGTTTATTATATAATTTGTCTTAAAGGTCTGATTATTGAAAATCTGTAAATAGTGAGTGACAATGAAAGATAAATGACTTATCATACCTCGATGGCATTAAACCTAAAGCTCTGTCCCATGCGCTTGACTAAGGCAGCGTCATCATCGGTACCTGCATAATCCAGTCTATAGCATCAAGACTACATAGTAAATGGGATGGATTTTTCAGCTTTTCGCTCCATTGCACAGCGAAATCATGGAGGATATGTAGAAGTTCACAGGAAGCTGACCTTCTTCTACTTCCTCATCATCAAGTGGAGCATATTTGTCAAACTCAAATCGTTCCCATCCTGCACCCTTACTGGTATCTTTCTCAGCTGCAATTCATGCGGGATCATTCATATCAAAAGTGGGTATAAAGATGAGCTGATATTAACGTTTTCACTAGGTAAAAGATGCGAGAAATATAAGGACAGAGTCGATCTTTCTCAGGCACCATGAAGGTTCTCTTCATATACCACTAAATACAATTACATATTTACTCTCTGCAGGAAAGGGTTTGTCCCAATCCTCCATACATGCACAGTTGCTATGAAGATCTAGGTCACTAAACACCGAGTAAGGCTTTGATTTACAGATAGGGAAAAGTTCGGGAAAGTCATCTCTCAGGAGTAAGAGAGTAACGTACATGGCATCTTCAATGCCAAGAGATACAGAGCTATATAACACATCCCCACAAAACTACTTTGAGGAGCGAATTCTCAGTTCTTGACCCAATGCCCAACCAGAACCTTAGACAAATCCAGAATACCCCAACGCAGTCTCCTACCTCCATTTCAAACCATTAGAAACTAACAACATTAAGGCTAGGATTCGCTAAAGAACTTCTAGGCTAGTTACAATAGTCTTGCAGTAGCCTAATAAGTAATAAGAAAGCCTTATCAACATAATCAAGGCCAAGACATTGAGTGCCAAGTGCCAAAACACAGCCCCACCATTTAACAGTAACATTCCAAAGATGGATCCCACTCAAAAGATGTTGTCGAGAGAATCAGATCTGATCTGCCAGAAGCATGGACAGCAGAATCAATGTTAATGTCTCTAATGGGACCGACTAACTTACCAGTTTCATCAAGCTGGAGCTTCATCTTGGCCTTCACTTTTTCAGCAGCCGACTGTTCCAAGAAAGCAACACAACAATCCCTTAAGATAATCAATAAAAATTACACACGCAAAACAACAACAACAAAAATACAGAATCCAAATCCATAAACAAAGAAAGAGCTCCACAAGAATAGTTGTACCAAATTGGAGTTGATGTGTATGTCTACATTTATTCCTGCTTACCAAGTAAATGTAACTACATGAAGGCATATCCTAAGTAACAATTCCAACCTAATCTTCAGGATGATGTGATGTAAACTGTAAAGCTACTTGCTATGTTCGTATAACCCTAACTCCCAAACTCCAAAGGAGGGGGAGCAAAGAGAATCTAACATTACGAAATTGAAGTAACCAAGCTGAATCTGGTGAACCTATAGCAAGAATCAAAAATCTGGAAAAAATAAGGCTAATAACAGAATACCATATCATCGTAGCCTTTGATTAGCCGCGAGTAATCAATCTTCTTCTCCTTGACATCTTCTCCCCTCCTTCCTCTTCTCTCATCTTCGCTCCTCCTACGTTCCCTCCTCGGCGACGAGCTCCTGCTCCGGCTCCTCCTCCTTCGTCTTTCTCTATCTCTCTCATACCTACTACGCCTCTCTGCACTCCTGCTCCTGCTTCTCCTTCTATATCCTCTCTCTCTCTCATCCCTCTCTCTACTCCGATAACGACGCCGTTCGCTCGATTCTCTGTAGCTCCTCTCCGGAACCCTGAGATATTGCTGGTCTTCAGGCTTCTTCTTCTTTGATTTATCTCTGATCGATCGGATCTCGGAATCGTTTTCGTTATTTTCGGTGGATTTAGGGTTGGAAGAAGCTTTGACGAACTGATTGATAAACGAAGAGGAGGATGCGATCGCCGATCCTCTCGCCGGAACGGTGTTGGCTCCGGAGGAAAAGCCGAGGCCTTGCTTGAAACGAGCAGCTCCTTCTCCTTTACGCGTGAGCTCGTCGTAGTAAGCTGCCGCTTTTTCCTCTTCCATAACTTAGCGCATCCCCCCGTTCTATGTTCTTCGGGTTGTGTCAGTTAAACTCAATAGTATTATTATTTTTTCCCCTCTCTGTTTATTTTTTTTTTAATAGTAATTCTCTTACTGTAAGTTTCTATGTAAACTCACAATCTCACCATTAGTGTAATCTTTGCATATTTTTATATTCAAACCTTTCAGAATGAATACCAAAGTTATTCGAAAAGGACTTATTATATAACTCAAGTCTCTCTAAGTGAGAACGTGACTGAATCTACTGATCAAGTTATGATTGTTACTAAAGAGTAAAGATGTCATAGTATTTTTGCAACATTAGCATGGGATCAAACTGTTGAAATAGATTTCAGTTATCATGCATTGGCCAATCACAGTGTCACATCAATGCATTTTGTCGAACCTTATAAATCAACCAAACGCACCTGATAGCTTGTGATGAGATAATGAGAGTAGTTGAATCATTACATCAATATCATCCTAACCAAAGCATGTGAGCCTCGATGGCGCGTAGTAGGAAGGTTAGCTGCCATGAACCTGATAGACATGTGACTCCTGCAAAAGACCAACATGCGAAGCACTTTAGTCCCATATATTCTTGATATCTTAAAGTTCCAAAAGTTATATATATTGTATTCTTGATATATCTTGCATTCAAATATAAGAGAATCACTTTAATTCAGTATGTGAGCATCACTTAGAAAAGATAGGATCAATCCGAGAATCATTCTCTCACATTTTAGAAAGAAAAAAAATATCCTTAAATATACATAAAACTTAACACAGCATATGCATCAAATCTTCTGCCTCTATCATACTTTTTTTATTTTATTTTCAAATACTTCTGACTTGAACATTACAGGGTCTTATGGAATCACTTCTTCCAGTGGAGGATCCTCTGGTATCATTTCCTCCGATGCTCATAGTCATAGTAATTCTAGCTATTTTCTGTTGTGCATGTTTGTCTACTCTCCAACAATCGATCATAACTGTTTCAGAAAGTCTCATATACTTTAGCAAAAATTATACACAACATAAAATACATTTCATATAGTATCAAATTTTAAACAACTATGATATGTAATTTTCTGTATACGTATGTTTTTTTTTTTTACTGCAAATGCTCTATATATTTAGATATCAATTCAAAAGATATTAAGTTCGGAAGCCAGCCACTCTAGAAGTAAAGAATTTATACGAGAAAATATCAAACCACAGGTTTGAACGTTCTTAGCGAGATGATAAGCCCAGACAAAGAGAATATGAGATAAAACCTATACAAAGATTGTGAAAATTGAACACAAAAACTCCAATTTTTCAAGCTCTGTTTCTAGTGCCGACCATTCTTCTTTTTTTTCTATCAAGTTTACCCAATAATTTAAAACCCAATAAATTGTATTATGAAAGTGTAAGTTGAATAAAACCGAATTTAAATTCACAGATAAGCTCAAAACATAGACAGTTATTTTTAATAATAAAAAAAGGCTTGAACTGTACTTACTTACAAACTTTGCATTAGAAGTTATCTTAATTACATGTTCTATTTTGGTACATGTCTTTTTGAAATGGAAAAATCAAAACAAATACGAAATTATCGGAAATGTACAAAATCAAAGTACCATGATCTGAACAATAATCGAGAGATCGTCATGATACGATATCCAATTTGATTTTTCTTTTTTATTTTTCCCTTCCAGAATATCCTATGATTTCACCACTCACCATTATTTGACTATTCTCCAAGAAAACAAATATATAAAAACATGATCACTTTGATTTTTTTCCCCCGAAAACTTTATTACATGATTTTTTTTTCTTTTTCTTTTTTTTCATTTCATTTTGTTTTGCCAAATTTGAATATGACTTTTTGGAAACAGAATAAACAAATAATTTCCACGCGCTATCGACAGGCAAAATCCCACAGATATGCAAAGATCTCTCAGAATCTCTCGAATCATATTTTCCCTCTCTTTTTCCTCCTCCCTTATAAATCCCTAATCCCCACTCAAATCCTTCATCCCGTTGCAAAATCAAATCTCCTTTTTTACCACTTTTCCTCTCAAATCGTCGATTCATAGCAGATTCTCTCTCTCTCTCACACGATCCTTCGTTTACAGATCTCTTTGATAATCTCGTTGATATGGCGGAGGTTTTGCGTCCGGAGAAACTGGATATATCCAACGACACTTCGTCCTTAGCATCGCCGGAGCTTCTTCATGTTCTCGCCGTCGACGACAGCATCGTCGATCGGAAATTCATCGAGCGGTTGCTAAGAGTCTCGTCGTGTAAAGGTAAGTTGTTGTTTGGTTCATCGTTTTCGGTTTTTGTTGAGTCTGTTTGATTATTCGAAATCTGACTTTAGTTTTTTTTTTTGAATTTTCTCAGTTACTCTTGTGGATAGCGCGACGAGAGCTTTGCAATACCTTGGATTAGATGGAGAAAATGGTTCTGTTGGATTTGAGGTAATATATATATTTTTTTATTTAATTTTAGATTTTTTTTTCAAATTTTTGGTTTATTAAAGACTTTTTATTTGCAAAATTTCAGGATCTGAAGATTAATCTGATAATGACGGATTACTCTATGCCTGGGATGACTGGATATGAGCTACTGAAGAAGATCAAAGTAAGTTTGTCGATTTTTTTATGTCGATTTGGCAAAATAAGATAAAAATGAAGTTTTATCTAATTTGGTTACTGGTTTTTGAACTTTTATAGGAATCATCAGCTTTCAGAGAAATACCAGTGGTGATTATGTCGTCAGAGAACATCTTGCCTCGTATCGATAGGTATATTTTCTATATCTTAATTATGATCCCTAATCCTTGTTTTAAGTAAAAGTCACGTACGATTAAGATTTACCTGGTATAGTAATACTTCTTAGATTTTGTGCATTAGAGGGTTTTCATTTAGGAAACTATTAAGTAATCACGCTACTTTAGAATTTTTGAAAAAAAAATAAGATACCGTTAAGCCGATATGTATTGACTAAATTAAATTGATGTATAATAATCATATGAGATTTGCATGATAAAAAGTATTATATGGTTTCTTTAACCATCATGGGTATAACTGTGGTGGTGGTTGCATATTTGATGAAGCTAAGATTTTGTGTTACTTTAGTGGGTCCTTTCAAGATTTTAATACATTTTCTAATGGATATTAGGTAATATATAATAAAAGAAAAAAAAATGTTTCATGTGGCCACAAAATAAGAAAAGAATAATCCTTCATAAGTTAAGCAAGATCTTCTCTTGAGATTTGATTCTGTTGCCGGTGATGTGATGGAATAGAACCCCTCCAAAAAAAATTATAATATATGCTTTAATTGTTTGCATAATCTTTGGTAGGGTCATTATAAAATCTCATCCTCGTGATGGACACCTCACATGCTTTTGCTTATTACTTAGGAACCCTCTTTTACGAAATTAAAAGTCTAATAATAGCTTACTACTATTATGAATTATGATGAGCTGGCCATTTTCTGGATCCAAAGCTACAAACTTATTGAACTGGATTTACTAATGTTTTGTTTTTTTTTTTAATATGATTCAGATGTCTTGAAGAAGGGGCTGAAGATTTCTTATTGAAGCCTGTGAAATTAGCTGATGTGAAGCGATTAAGAGATTCTTTAATGAAAGCTGAGGAAAGAGCTTTCAAGAGTATTATGCACAAGAGGGAGCTAGAAGCTAATGATGTATACTCGCAGCTAAAACGCGTAAAGATCTGAGTTTCCATATTCCACGATGTGATTCTTTCTGCTTACAATTTTTGGGACGTTACAGCTTTTTTTGCTGGTAGAACCAGTGAGGACAGATAAAAAGAAGGGTTTTTTTTTCATAATAGAAATGTAAATTGTAGAAAAGAAAATTGGTTTTCATTAGAGAGGAGGGACACATAAATAGACTTTTTTTTCTTTACATGAGATATGTAAAATGGTGTTGTTATTGTGGAAGTTTAATAGAAACTTTGGTTTTTCTTCCGCCTTCACTTTCCGAAATAATTTATGGCACACATCCACATGAAAATAAGGAGTAGTAATTTTTTTATAGTGACGAAAACTCTAAAATGATTTAGAAATACAATTCATCACACAAAGACGAGTTACTCTTTTGTCTACATAAAGTAAGCTCTGAACATGGTACAAATCCAGCGAGATATGTTAGTTAAATGTTGGATCGCAGTAAATGGCTTTTCCTAGAAATTTCCCAAGTTGGGTATTTAATAAGACCCGTACGAGCCTAGTCTCCTCTAGACTTTTTCCATCTTATAGTAAAATACTTATTTTTTGTTAAAGCAAGTACTTGTATAGTTGCCAATTTGCCATATAAAAAAGGAAGCAAATTGTAGTATCAAATTCTAAAAATTCTGCAATCCGGTTTAAGGTTTACCGCACACAGATACTTGACTACAAATGATTGCTCAAAAAAAGAAAACTGCTTATAACTTGTATATGAATTTTATAGTTTAACATACTCAGTTCTATACAGTTTATATTATAAAGTGAAACTGAATTGAAAAGGTAAAACTAAATAAAAGTTAAATATTTCAAAATCTTTTTTGCTAGAAAAACCTAACTCAAAAGCCGGACCGAATGAAAAAAATTTGATAACAATCCGGTTCGTGTCTTTCATAATTATAAATTAAATTCAAGCCCTGACAAAACAGTATTTCTGAATGCAAACCGGATAGACATAGAACTGGAGAGAAGACTGCTTCGGTTTACTTTAGGTCAGCTGAGAGAAATCAAACCGGTTCGATATCTGGAACCCTATCCGGTTTACTTTCAGATACGACTTATTTTAAAAAACAGAGGTAAAGCAGAGTTCTGTAGGAGACGAAGACTTTTTAAATCAGAAAGACAGAAACCCAAGTCAAGCTATAAAAAAAAACTATTGTACGTAATTTCCAAGCGATACAAACTTTCCTGAACCAAAAAGCATTAAAGAAGTAAAAAAAAAAAAAAAAAAAATTCCGACAAAAAAGTGAATATCTATGAGTTACTGCAAAATCCCACCGATGTAGATTGCACAGAGTCACGACACAAATCCGAATGACATCTGAAAGCAAAAATAGCATCTCTATTGGAGACGAAGACTCCAAAAGCCAAGCTACAAAATTTCCAAGCAAGATTCATAAGATAACCACAAAATAAATAAAGTTTCGGACAAAAGATGGATGTTTTGGTCTTTATGATATAGTTTCTACGAAATTCAAGTCCTGTCGGACGTACGAGCTATGAACCAATGAAAACTACCCACGAGGACGGCTAAGATTCGTTACCTTCTTCATGGTCTCCAATAGCCGAAAAGTCCACTATAACAATCATAAAGTATACAGTTCTTCAAATAAAGTAAGGAACAGCTTGACATAAAAAATACAGTTCCTCAAAATACTACCCCTTTTGCAGTAATTTCTGCTCTTGTTTAGGATGGGGCATTTTGGTAATTACTCCGGCAACATCTTTGCAGTCATTTCTTTATATTACAGTTAATCCGCAGAGATGAAGAAAGACAATAAAGCAAGACGATCCAGAACAAAGAGAGAGATAGAAAGAGAAAAAGAGAGAGAGTAGACCAATGGCTGTAGAAGCTCTAGCCGGAATCAATTATGAAATAATCACCAGTTCATGGAGGGCATCGACCATAGATTACGGGACCGAGCACTTTCACAAAGAAGAAGAAGGACAAAAAGTCTTTTTCGCTTTCCCACCATCTTTCTTGGAGAGAGACTGGTTTGCTCCGGGGAATAAGTCTCCCTTTGGAGAAATTAAGATGAATCGTAAGCACTTTCCTTGTATGAGAAGCATCGGCAACGACGAAGACGCTACTGTTAACGAAGCCTTCCTTAAGAATCTTGAATTTCTCACTTCTTCAAGAACCTCATTTGGAAATTCTGTAAGTAGAAAGTCTTTAAACTTTTTCCTCTTTTAATTGAAACATGAGACCAATTTGTGTCTAAAAGACTGAAAACTTACTTTCTTCAGGTGAAAGAGGCGGTCGAAAGAAAACAACAGATTGTGTTCACAGGACATTCCTCAGGAGGTGCAGCTGCAATCTTAGCAACAGTTTGGTATTTAGAGGCACACTTCAAACCCAATAACAATGGTCTCCCTGAGCCACGTTGTCTGACTTTTGGAGCTCCTTTGGTTGGTGACTATGTCTTCAAGCACGCGCTTGGGAGAGAGAAATGGAGCCGGCTCTTCGTGAATTTTGTGACAAGATTCGATATTGTCCCTCGGATTATGCTTGCTCGAAAGGCATCAACAAAGCAAGCTCTGCCTCATGTTCTCGACCAATTGGATCCTACCAGAGCTCCGATGCAAGAAAACGACCAGAGCATCACAGAGTTTTACAAAGCCGTGATGAAAGACACATCAACTGTTGCTTACCAAGCTGGCTGTGAAATGACTGGGAACGGAGAGGCGTTTCTGGAAACTCTTTCAAGTTTCCTTGAGCTAAGTCCTTATAGACCCGCAGGCACTTTTGTCTTCTCTACAGGGACGAAGTTGGTCTCAGTGACCAACTCAGACGCCATCCTTCAGATTCTGTTCTATTCTTCTCAGTCCAGCAACGAACAGGAATGGTCTCTGATTCCATATCAAAGCATAAGAGATCATCGCAGCTATGAGGAAATGGTGCAAACAATGGGGACGAAGCCTTTGAGTCATTTGGGTTTGCCTTTGGATGGAGAATCCGCGTTCAATGACCTCGGACTGGTAAATCTTTCTCTCTTTTTGCTACATACGATTAAAAAAGAAAAATCATTGGTAACATTGGTGTATCTTGTGTTTTCGTTTTGGCAGAGCACAAGAGCAAAACAATGTGTCCGTGCTGCATTTGTGGCAGAGATGCAACGAGTCAAAAATCAGAGTAATATAGCCGACAAAAAGCCTAAAATAGAGAAGGAACTGACATGGATAAAGGAAGAATACAAGCCAAGGTGTCGAACTCATAAAAACGGCTACTACGATTCCTTCAAGGCTTCTAATGAAGAGATTGATTTCAAAGCAAACGTCAAGAGAGCTGAGCTAGCTGGTATCTATGACGAGGTGCTCGGTTTAGTGAAGAAAGGTCTAGTTCCAGATGAATTCGAGGGAGACAGAGACTGGATCGAGCTAGCAACTAGCTACCGCAGGTTAGTTGAACCACTTGATATTGCAAACTACCACAGGCATTTGAAGAACGAAGACACGGGGCCTTACATGAAGAAAGGGAGACCAAATCGCTACAAACACGCTCAGAGAGGGTACGAGCATGGGCTATTGAAGGGAGGAAGAGCTGCGGAGGATATAGAGCAAACCAGCTGCGGAGGATTGTGCTTTTGGGCTGAGGTTGAAGAACTCATGGGAAAAAACTATGCAGAGGTTGAGGAAAGGGTTAAGAATTTAGAACGGTTGATTGAAAGATGGATCATAGAGAAGGAAGTGGATGATGAACAGATATTTCTGGAGGGTTCAACATTCAGAAAGTTGTGGAATTCACTTCCTGAGCATCACAAACGCCAGTCTCTGCTGCTACAGCGTATGGGTTGAAGCATGAGCCACTTGAGCCTGAAAATGCCGGTTGTTTATGCTATTGAAACTTCCTTTGTGTACGTTTGTGCAATAAAAAAAGACGTAATAGCTCTCTATTCTAGTGTTTTGTAATTTGGTTTCCACTTCAGGATGATCCCTTAAATAAGGAAACATGTTCTCAGCGATCATTTGAAGTACATGTAATAGCTCTCTGTTCTAATTTCAAATTTGGTTTCCATTTTACAGCTATCTTAGAATAAAAAACAACATTACTCTAAAGCTTCTAGTTATACCATATAGCACGAACCAGCGACAAACAACTTTCCTTAGCGTTGAAAGAAGAAAATACACAGTGACCAGAATATCATCAGAAAGGAGGTTGAAAACATTACTAACCTCTAAACATTTGGCTGTGCAAAGGCTCCAAGTTCTAGCTACTACGATAGCCAAAGAAGAACACAAATAAACACAGTGCGTAGTTTGAAACTTTCCCTTTCCCCTTCTGTTGCTAGTTTGCTCGATATGAAAGCTTGGTTCAAGCATATGTTTCCTAAACGCAAGTAAGTAAAAGAGTGAAGTTTCACATTACCAAGAAGTTCAAGCCAGATTTGCGTTTCCGCAGGATCCTGTGCCGGCATAATCAATCACGACAAAATCATACCATATCTGCTGTGTTCAGTCGCTAAACAGAGATTCAAGTAGAACGAATAACATTCAAGGTCCACTTTAAAATATCAGAAGGTTTACAAAATGATGCCTTTAGAATATTACAGATACGCAAGGTTCTCAATGGGAAAGAGACTTATTGCAACTTTATGTATTTGAAATTCGTGTACCACCTTATGTACTCACACACCACTCTACATAAACCATCACCACCACCACGACATGTTTCAGACGAAGAAGAGTCATTGACATAGAAGAACATAGAACATAGTTCTCAGGTGCCAAAAGACAAATCCTATACCCATATCTAAAGAGTTTTAAAGACAGGTTAAAAAAACGAGGAACATGCGGGGAAGAAAAAAAAGAAGAGGAGAGGAAACAAACAGACACAGTCCGAGAAAAGCCACATCTTCTTTTCTTCATGACCTGCAGAACATGCTAGACGAACGAGCAAGCCGAATAATAGTCAGACCACCACCTTGAAAACTAGCCTCAACCTTGATTGTGTTCCTTTCATATGGCTTCCTGCAACCTGGACAACGCCCATCTCCATCGCAAATCGTCTTGTGGCAGAAAAGGCAGAGCCGGAATCCACAAGGGCATGGCAAGAAATTAGAATCCGTCAAGTCAAGATCTTCGTAGCAAATGGGGCATGAAGATGGCACTGCCACAGAACTAAAATGCATGTTCATGACCGGAAAGCTACGCTGCTTCTCCAAATTCGGCAGACCCTGAGGGCGGAGCTTATCGTCTGGCCTCCATGCCTGGTTGCTCTTTTGCTTCCTTGATGTTGTTCTCGAGCAATCAGGCTTTGCATCCCTTATAGCCACACCAGATCCACTGATTGAATCTCTTGGAGAAGCTGAATGCTTGACACTCTCATGCTCTTCGCAGGGCTCAGGAGGATTCTCTTTCTCGTGCTTATCATCATCAGCTGCTAAAGCATCAGCAATAGCTTCCCAGTCATCCAAACAATCATCATCATCAGCATCTTCTTCCTCTGTAATATTACCAGAACAAGAGCCACCACTTCCACTGCTACTGCTGCAGCTAAAATTGGGGATCGAGTTCATGCCACTCAGGATGCTGTTAGGGCTATTCGAAAGTGACTCTATGAAGCTCTCATGGCGATGTGTCCCACTGTTATCCTCTTCTTCTCTACGCTGCCCATCTAAATTCTCAGCCGGAGGAATTCTCTGATTAGGTTTTTCACTTCCAGTTTTCCGATTTGAATCCACTTCCTCCTTATCCCCTTTGTTTATCATCGCAACTGATGGCAAAACCCAAATCAATATAGACGAATTCCACAATTCAAGAGCCAAAGCAAATCATGTAACTGGAACATATAAAAGAAAAGAAAAAAGATAGATCTTTTATGATGATCATACCTTGAGAAAGCCATTGCTCACGGCGGAGACCTAGCTTGCTCTGTTTCAATTTGGCTGACCTGTTCGTCTGACCCAATGCAATAAGAATCCCCCCCCAAAACAGTACACATCAAAGAGTGAAGCCAAAAAGAAATCAAATTTAGAGATAGAAATGAGATTTGAGGAAGATCGAAAGAGAATTATAGAAATGAAAAACAAAATCAAGCGTACCCTTTTCTTTTTTCCGAAATCCCTTGCGCTTGGGGCTGCAGTGGCAGAGGCGTTGGTGATCGAATCAGAAATCATGGCTAACAGATGATTCCGAAACCGCGAATTCAAAAAAAGGTATAAAGAATTTCGAAATCACAAATGAAGATTCTCAAAAACCCTAATCAGATTTGTCGCGAGAAGAAAGAGAGAAACGTGCGATTTTTATTTTTCTTTGTTTGTTGGGTCTGTGAGAGAAAGAGAGAGATAATATAAAGGGATAACGGAAACTCCTCGTCTCCGCTCAGAACTTTTTTCGTGACAACAATACCCCTGCATTTGACTTTTGCACACGCTTGAAAATAGGGGTGGTTTTGTAATCTTGCCAGATCCACACGTGTGAGGTTTCTTCTATCCATTAAAACGGTGGCGTACGGTGGACTACACGTGAGGGAAGTTCATATGATTCACATATCATTTCTGACTCCCACAAAACAAAAAACAGAGCTTCTAGATCAATCAGATGGGTTTCTTCTGGTTATAAACTTTCAATTTACAGATAAATTAAATGAATACGAAAAAGTCAAACTTCTGTATCCTTGGATTTAAAGAAACCGATCAAACACACTTTTCTCTAATTTTGATGACATGCTTCAAAAACATCAAAACATGGGTTTTACAAAAAAACAAAACAAAACATGGAAATTAAACATGTATATTAAGTTAAATTATGAGATTAACAAAAATTTAAAATGTAAATAACTTAAATATGATTTTTGTTTTAGTATATAAATAAAGCAACCTGAAAAGAGCAAGAATGCACATTAACAAATTACGGTATAAGAGTTTCATTTAAGACCAACAAATTAAGCGACACACAACATCAACTGTGATTAACTAAAAAAGTAAAACATCAATTTGATGACTTGTAGTGATAAAAACTCAATCCTCTTGAACTAACCATATAAACTTGTTATTGAGTTATGTAACTTCAATCATGGAACTAATTAACTTCAAAGGACAAACAAGGATTTATTTAGGTTCGAGCCAGCGGAAACAATTCCAAAGGCATGAAGACAAAATTATAAACGTGAAGGTGAAACTGCTGTAGAAACATGTGGAATGTTTTTATTTCCCAAATTGTGCAAAGAGCAAAAAGATTTAAGCTTTTATGATTTATATGAGCTAACGCACTGTTCATTAGAGTCTGACCATTCAATATCAAATTTAGATAACAGAAACCGAAACTAAAGAACAAACGCGAAAAAAAAACAAACACAATGGTTCAAAAAAAGAGGTAAAACCTTTGCGCAGAATCTGACTAAACACAACAAAGAACCAAAAAACCACAGACAAATATTCGGGAATCTTCCTGAAAAAAGAGCTTCGATTGGATAAGCAAGACACGAAGCAGTGACAAAATACTTTTTTTGTATCTGAGAAAGAAAAAAACAGAGTTTTGATATGTTATCTCACATCAATGGCAGTTCTTGTGTTAAAAAGGTGAAGCCACAATCTGGATGAGATATAGATTTCTGAGTACACTGAACTTTTTTTTGAAAAAAAGCAGCTTTCTTTGCTGCAAATCTAGAGGATACAAATGTTGGCAGCTATGAAATTACATTCCCGTTTTTTCTCAATAACTATTTTTATAAAAAATCAAGTATATCAGTTTAGTACTATTTGTTATAATTAAAGTAGAGAATAAAGACTAAATAGGTAAGAAGTTAATCTAAACAAAATCTCTTACCTACTCATAAATCTTAATCAAATTAGTCAATGACAAACCAACCGGATCGGGTTAAGAAAACACTACACATGCTTATAGATACACATTCCATGCTTACAACTAATAATGAGTAATGTGCAATGTTAGAAAGTATGGTTCGTTTTCAAAATCTACCTAACGGTTGGAATAACTCGAAATGTACCCATGAGCTTCCTATCTATATATAGAGAGACATGCATAATCTTGATTGCGACACTTATAAAGAACAGTATAGAGCAAATAAAGGTCAGTGTCCCCTGTAATATTTCTCTGTTATGGAAAACTCTATTTTTTTTTGTTTTTTTCTAATGAAAGTGATGTTTAAACGAGAATTAAGGGGAATATATGTATAAAGTATTGTTGGCCTAAACAGACCAGTAACATAGAGACTAGTCTTCTGATGTTTGGGATGGTTTCCAGAAATGTGTTGGTCATCACTTTAGTTACTAGATTATAATTCATATGCAATGGTTAAACCGAACTGAAAGCTGATTTTATTTGCCAAATTTCAATGTGAAATCTGTTGGTCATCACTATAATTACTAGATTATAATTCATATGCAATGGTTAAACCGAACTGAAAGCTGATTTTATTTGCCAAATTTCAAGAATAACAGAGAATTTGTAATGTAATTAAAAATTTCCGGAGAGAAATGATAAAGGATTCAGGATTTCTCTGGTTTTAATTCTAGTCGGTAGACTCCCAAACCGAAATAAACCCAATTTAGAGTAGTAAAACGAGATAGTATTTTTTTTATTATTATATTAATAAGAAAAAACAGAAATAAAGTCAAAGAGAGTTAAGGAAACGTGGTCAAACCGTCCGTCACTCACCCACCCTTAATCTCTCCAGTCCCTATGTCACCTGAAAAAGATTGGAGATGACGTCACGAACATATTGTTTTATCATTTAAGTCACCGCACTGTCACGTTATCTTCGCCCCTTTCCACAACTCCTCCCTACCCGAAACTCCAACCCGATCCACCCGACTCTCCGAAGTCACCTTTCCCCTTTTTGCCCCGTCTCTCTCTCTCTCTCTTTCTCTTCCTCTTCTCTTCGATTTATTTCGGCCTGGTGTTTTGTTGGCTTACGCGATTTCGCGAAGAAAATTTTATATTCCTGGATCGACTCAAGGCGGATTCGATTGCTCGCTCCGTTGTATTGTCTCTGTTGTTGTTTGTGGATCTGTGTTGTTGTGTTTGGATCGGGAAATTGAAAAACCCTAGAATTTCGAGGGAGATTTGATCCATTTCGTCGCGGAATTAGGGTTTGTTTCTTCGCCGGCGGGGTATTTTGTCTGGGTTGGATCTAAGGTATCGAATATTGGTTTGGGGAAGAACATCGGAGAATTTCGCGAGGAGTTGTGTATTGATGTTGTTCGAAGGGGAAGATGATAGAAGGCTATGCATGGGAGGGTTTGTGAGGGGAGGAACAAAAGTCGTCGTCGGCACATGTTGATATCTTCCTCGCGTGTAATTGCGAGTGTGGAAGGTGGTGGTTCTTCGTGTTTATCCCTATCTTCATCTACCTCGTTCTGTAAGGTAATTCAAATTGATTTGGTTCGATTTCTCCAGGCGCTTATTTTCGTGTTCCCCTTCGTTGATTGGTTGCCCGCAGTGTTAAAATCTGTATGGATTCTGTTGATGGATTCGAGGAATTGAGCATTTTCTTTACCAATTTCTAGCCTGATTGAACAACGAAATGATCGATCACATACGCCTGGCGATTTAGGGCTTAAGAAAATTTTACACCTTTATACTGTGCTTCTTTTTTTTGTTCACTTTTGGCCTTATAGTTTGTTTTGTGTGTTGCTGTCGATAGCAGGACGGACGCAAAATTAGTGTTGGTGACTGTGCTCTCTTTAAGCCACCACAGGATTGCCCACCGTTCATTGGGATAATTCGGCTGATCATTGCTGAGAAAGAAAATAAGTTGAAGTTGGGAGTCAATTGGCTATATCGACCTACAGAATTGAAACTTGGCAAAGGCATCCTTTTAGAGGCTGAGCCGAACGAACTCTTTTATTCCTTTCACGAGGATAATATACCTGCTGCATCCTTACTGCATCCGTGCAAAGTTGCTTTCCTTCCAAGGGGTGTTGAACTGCCATCTGGTATCTGCTCGTTTGTGTGTCGGCGAGTTTACGACGTTACAAACGAGCGCTTATGGTGGCTGACTGATCAAGACTATATTGATGTGAGAATTTCTAATTCATCACCAGTTGCCTTCTTCTGTCTGGATCTATGATTTCTTCTGGTAACTAAGGCATTTTTTCCTTTTGCAGGATCGACAACTAGAAGTAGACAAGTTATTGTGTAAGACTCGTTCAGAAATGCATACAACATTACAGCAGGGTGGTCGTTCTCCCAAGTCAATGAATAGTCCAACAACATCGCAAGCGAAAGATGGCATCCAGAATAATAACTCCTTTCTCTCTCAGGGCAAGGGAAGGAAAAGAGAGCGTATGGATCATGGTTCCGAGTCTGTAAAACGGGAACGTTCCTCTCGAATAGATGACAGTGGTTCTGGTCCCCTCAGAACGGAAAGCAGTTTAAAGTCTGAGATTTTAAAATTTACAGAGAAAGGGGGTCTGGTGGATTCTGAAGGAGTGGAAAAATTGGTGCAGCTCATGCTGCCTGAGAGGAATGAGAAGAAAATAGATTTAGTTTGCCGTGCAATTCTTGCAGGGGTTGTAGCGGCAACAGACAAGTTTGATTGCCTTAGTCGTTTTGTCCAGCTGAGGGGACTACCTGTGTTTGATGAGTGGCTGCAGGAAGTTCATAAAGGGAAAGTTGGGGATGGGGGCAGTCCCAAAGACAATGATAGGTCTGTAGATGATTTCCTCTTAGTCTTACTTCGCGCACTTGACAAGCTACCTGTGAATCTCAATGCGCTGCAGACTTGTAACATTGGAAAGTCTGTTAATCATCTACGATCACATAAAAATTCTGAGATTGGGAAAAAAGCAAGGAGTTTGGTTGACACATGGAAGAAACGTGTTGAGGCAGAAATGGATGCGAAGTCTGGATCCAACCAGGGTGTATCTTGGCCTGGAAGACTGAGTCATGGAGGCAGGCATTCAGGTGGGTCCTCTGAGGCAAACAAGACATCATCATCACAGCTACACGCTTCAAAGTGTGTGTCGGTTAAGGTGGAAAGCAACCTGAAGCCTTTAGCCACGTCTCCAGGCTCTACAAGATCAGCTCCATCCCCTGGATCAGGTGGTACTGTTTCTAAAGACGGTCATCAAAGAAATGCTGGAAATGGTGGTGTATCTGAAGTCCTAGCTGCAGTAAAGGATGAGAAAAGTAGCAGCTCTAGTCAGTCCCACAATAACAGTCAGTCTTGCTCGAGTGAGCATGCCAAAACAGGTAATTTATCTGGAAAGGAAGATGCAAGGAGCTCTACTGGTTCAACTGTGAAGAAGTGCTCAGGTGGCTCTTCAAGGCATCGGAAATCAAACAGTGTGTTTCAGGGGTCAGCTTCGTCGGCATCCCCTAGGGAAGCTGGGTTAAGTAGAAGCTTCTCATCACAGAGAAATACCCCTTCTGAGAAAATATCCCAATCAAGTTTGACATCTGAAAAGACTCTTGAGGTCCCTTTGACTGAGGGTTGCAGTAATAAATTGATCGTTAAGCTGCCCAAACGCGGTCGCAGTCCTCCACAAAGTGTGAGTGGAGGCTCTTTTGAGGACCATGCGCCGGTGAATAGCAGAGCTTCTTCACCTGTGCATGCGGTGAAGCAGGAACTGTGTGACAATAACGTGAGAGAAAAGATTCATTCTTCTCGAGCTAATGTGAGCTCTGTCTTGAACGCCGAGTCTTGGCAAAGTAATGAATTTAAAGATGTTATGACACGGTCGAACGAGGCAGCTGGTTCGCCACTTGTCGTTGTTGGTGACGAGCACAGCAGGGCTCTTAAAGATACTGGAAAAGCAGCAGTGAATGTTAAAGGCACATCTTCGTCACTAGGAAATGAGTTCAAATCTGGAGAAAGACATGGCGGAACACTCAGTTCAATGGATGCATTGATTGAAAGTTGTGTCAGGCACTCCGAGACAAATGCATCTTTGGCTGGTTCGGATGATGTTGGAATGAATCTTCTTGCCAGTGTGGCTGCTGATGTGATGTCTAAAACGCCTGTTGCATCACCCTCAGTATCTCAGCCTTCGATTTCTTTGACGAATGAAAACTCTACTGTAGGGAACAATGCAAAGCTCATTGCTTTGGATGGCTTGCCTCGCGACAAACATGAAACTGTTACCCAGGATCGCGCCACTTGCAGTAACGAGCAAGGTGAGCAACATGTTAGCAGTAGTGGCATGGATTCGGAGATCAAGAATGATTTCAAGACTGGAGATCTTGATAAGAGCTCAAATTCAGACACTGAAGATCTGCAAAGGTTAGTGGATCAGCGCCTAGAGAGCAATGACAATTCAGATGATGTCGTTGCTTCACCTGCTTTGCCTACAACCGCGGTTGAGGAGAAGAATTTGGATGATAGTGCCTTTGTGGAAGTAAATGAGAGAAAGGCTGATGTAAAGTCAGAAACAGATTGCATCTCTGACTCAACGAAAAGCATAGCAAGTTCGTTGCTAACTCCAAAGGTAGATTCTATGGCCGTTGAACACCCTCCCTCGGGTGTTGGTGACAGCAAGAAAGAAGAGTTACCACCAGCGGCTTCTGAGCTAGTTAAAAAAATCGGTGAAGATATACCAGTTTCTACTGGGATTTCAAGGGTTATGGATGCTGTGAGCATTGATAGACTGGTAACTGAAAAGGTCGATAGTATGGAGGTTAATCATATAGACCAAAAAGATAAAAATAAGATTAAGCAGGAATGCGATGCTTCTGTGGCTGTTGTAAAGGATGCATCAGCTGGTGTGGACTCATCTGTAACTAAAGGTAAAGTTGAGCCTGTAGAAGGAAATCCAGAAAATACTGAAGTTAAGGAACGCTACTCTGGGCCAAGAGCGACTCCAGGGGTATCGCCTAAAGACGCAGAGGATCTTAAGAGACCGAATGGGTTGAAAGCCAGTGATACTGATGGAGATGAAGCAGAGGAATGTACATCTGCTGCGAGGGATACTTCTTCCGCATCAGCTGGGTCAGAGATGGATGCCAGAGTTGAATTTGATCTAAATGAAGGTTTTGATGGAGACGATGCAAAACTTGGGGATTCAAATAACTTATCTGGATCTGTATTTTCGGCGCCTGCTCCTCTACAACCAGTTACCTTACCTTTTCCGGTGGGTCCCATATCTAGTGGACTTCCTGCATCCATTACTGTTGCTGCTGCTGCAAAAGGTCCGTTTGTTCCACCTGAAGATCTGTTGAGAAACAAAGGGGCTGTTGGTTGGAGAGGATCTGCTGCCACTAGCGCCTTCCGCCCAGCTGAGCCAAGAAAAGCTCAGGACGTGGTACTGAGCATTAACAATGCCTCTACATCCGATGCCTCTGCATCTGCTGGCAAACAGACAAGGACTTTTCTGGATTTTGACTTGAATGTACCTGACGAGAGACTCCTTGAAGATTTGCCTTCTCATAGATCTGGAAATGCCACAAACTGTACACCTGGTGTCACAAATAGTTTTGACCAAGTACGTTCTGGGGTGATGGGTTCAGCGCTGGATCATTCTTCTGGGGGCCTTGATCTTGATTTAAACAAAGTTGATGATTCGTCTGATATGAACAATTACACAATGAGCAGTAGTCATCGGCAAGACTCATCTTTTCACCAGGTGAAATTATCATCTCCAGGTGGACGTAGAGACTTTGATTTAAATGATGGACCTGCTGGTGATGATGCGGTCGTTGAGTCATCTATGGTTCTAAGTCAACACTCACGAAGTGGCTTGCCATCGCAGCCATCTCTCTCTGGAATACGAGTCAATGGCGAAAACATGGCTAGTTTCTCAACTTGGTTTCCTGCTGCTAACGCTTATTCAGCAGTGAGCATTCCTCCAATCATGACTGAGAGAGGTGATCAGGCTTTTCCAATGATTGGCAACCGTGGACCGCAGAGAATGTTGGGTCCAACAACTGGTGTTTCCTCATTTGCCCCTGAAGGGTACAGGGGTCCGGTTTTGTCGTCTTCTCCAGCAATGCCGTTCCAGTCCACAACGTTTCAGTATCCTGTGTTCCCTTTTGGAAATAACTTCCCGATTGCCTCAGCAAATTTCTCTGGCGCTTCTACGGCACACATGGATTCTTCCTCAAGTGGGAGAGCTTGCTTTCCCGGTGTCAACTCTCAAATATTGGGTCCTGGAGTTACAGTTCCCTCTAATTACCCGAGGCCTTATATCGTTGGCCTCCCAAATGGTGGTAGCAATGGTGGAGTTTTGGACAATAGCGCGAAATGGTTTAGGTCGTCAGGGCTTGACTTAAATTCTGGTCCTGGAGGCCATGACGCCGAGGGAAGAGACGAATCAACACTTGTGCCAAGGCAATTATCCTCATCTGCTTCCTTACCGTTGAAGGAGGATCAAGCAAGAATGTATCAGATGTCTGGTGGTGTTCTCAAGAGGAAAGAACCGGAAGGAGGATGGGATGGATATAGGCAGTCCTCATGGCAATAACAATATCTCGGAGTCTCAGCAGGCCACATGAAGCTTGTAAGCACCCAAAATCCATATTTCACGAATTCACTTTTTTTTGTTTGTTTTCTCTCTCTCTAATTCTAATGTTTCGATTGTTCGTTTTACTGTGCTAGTTACAAAGAGATGAGACTGATTGTGATGCCACAAGGCTTCATTGGCTGGCCTGCTTTGTTCAAGATGATGAATGGGTGAGTCAGTTTGTGACTTCACACAACAGTGGTCTGTCTCAGCCTTTATAAGAAACACAAACCTGATGATCTTAGTTTCAACATCATGTAGATCTCCCAAGCAGTCCCAAAATTCACCGGCGTGGCCATTCTCTTACAGAAGAGCTGTCAACAAGGTTCTCAGCGAGAGACCCGCATCATTTGTTTCCTTTGCCTTCCTCCCAACAAAGAGTTTTAAAAGGTGAACACACACTTTTTGGTCATTCTTCTAAATATGCATGTGTGTATCTCTATACACCGGCACAAAAGACTAGAGAGGGAAAACAAATGTTGAGGTGGCTTTGAGTGTGTTCTAATTTATGATTAAAAAGTCTTTGGCATTGTGGCTTTACATACATATGTGCTGCGCTTAGGTGATGGGGTTGTATTATAGACACAAAGATTAGTTACTTTTTTTCTTTTCTTTTCTGAGTTTGTAGATTTATTACTTGTGGTAGCTCTGATTTGAAATTTCCAAGCTTCTTTTGTCTTTTTGGTCTTGGATTCATTATACGTTCGTCTTATAGACCAAATAAATTTCGAACTCGGGAATAATGACTGATTCAAGCTTTTCAGTGGAAGCAATTGTTAACCATTTGAACTTACTAGGATTTGGTTTTATCAAGCTTTAGTTCAATTAGTCTTTTGGCTTCAAATTGGTTAAAACAGTTTTATAAAATAAGTGAGTAAATAATATGTCAGACGGAGTTGAGTCATCAATGCCGCTCTCTCATCCCGCACAGAACGTTTCTGTCAAATAGAGAAGCCAAATCTATAATCGTTCGTGACTTTGAGAGCACATTAAACATAAGAAGCTTATGTTCTCTTAAAGGTTAAAATCCTCTGGCTTAATGTAAAGAAATGTTATGATGCTAAAGTGAGCTTTCGCCTAGCCAAATTCAGGTGTCTCTACATCAAATGTAAGTCAATATACAAAAAACATAAATGCAGTGAAGATTTTTTCTACTTGCAAGAGACATTCGTTGCGCGGCTTTTGCTTCTTTTTCTTCTTCTCCTTTTGTTTCACCGCTGCTTGGATGACTACTTTGGTAGCAGCATCAAATACACATAAACCAAAGAAAGTATGATTCATATCGGTGCAAGTAAAGTGTTAACAGTACTAATCGCTCCTAAAATTCCAAACACATGCATAAGTGTACCTGTTGAGTTTTTGAGCTACGCTCCAATATGCTTGCGAAGTTCCTCTCCCTGTCACAACAACATTGCTTACGGTTTCTACAGGTTGAAAAATCACACCTGTGATGTAGTTACCGACTTACCGAGGACAGTCCAGGATGATGAGACAAATAATGTCTTTATCTTCACGAAGCCAACACAAAAACATCTGCTCCGAAAGGTCGTTAAATAGTGGTAACGGCAATCTAAGCCCAACTCCGAAAGTCGCCTAATCACTAGAGATCAGCCCAAAGCAAGCCTCGTCAGGGAGTTTGTTGCTTAGGGCGCAAGTCAAGGAGTTTGTTGAGAAGGGCATTTCCACAGTTCCATAGGAGAGTGGGAGGAACCTCAAGCTTAAAGAGAGTGACGATGAACGCTCTTGATGTTTCTCGTTTCACTTATTTTTTTCCAAACCGTTTTTGGGTTTAATTACAAAGAAAATGAACTAGAGAGAGAGCGAAGAAAGCTGACTAAAGCTATACAATAGGTGGAGGAGCCATGCGAAAATGCGTAGCTTTCTTTGCTTTCTAATTCATTTTCATCGTAATAAAATTCACAAACAGTTTTGAGAAAAAGTGAAACGAGAAACATCAAGAGATGTTTTGTAATCTTTTCTTCTTCTTCTTCTTCTCTTTGATGATTGATTTGATCGTAACTTGAAAGTTATTTAGAAATGGAGGTGGTGATCTATCTTTTTTTTTTTTTCGACGAAGTTGAATTTATTAATTATGAAAACGAAGTTACATAATCCTTATGGAGGAAATGAGTTAACCATAACGGTGGATACAGACTACTAGAATAAAAAGTGGAATTTGTCAATCCTTTTCTGGCGAGGACATGGGCCACTTCATTATAGCATCGCTTCGTGTATTTGAAAATAACACCCTGAAAATTTGCTGAGTATAATTTGATATCATTGCATAGGTTATGAATGGAGTAATCCTTTATTTCCCCATTGAGCTGCTTTATTAGAAGTTGACAATCTCCTTCAAAAACAATGGATTGGAAACCCATGAATCTTGCAGATTGAATTGCAATCAGAAGTGATTTACCTTCAGCTTCTAAAGCTGAAGCTACTGTCCCTAAAAATGCAGAACCCCAATATTTTGCAGTTCCGTTGTGATCTCGAATCATCCAACCCGAAGAATATGCATGCAAATTTGTACAGATATACATACAGTAAAATTGTACACACACTAAACCTAGTATATAATAAGTACAAGTTACCAGTTTTTTATTGCATCTATACTATTAAAAGAGAATACTATTTTTAAATTAACCTTTAGTTAATGTGTTATTTACAATATATACCATTAAATTTCTATAGATTCATTAAGGGTAATTTAGTTTTATCATTAAACTGTTAATAAATACATTAAATTAAATTAAATTATATTAGTTTGTAAACATATAATACCAATAAATCATATCTGATACTAATAAAATTTAAATTAATTTACTTTTAAAATTATTTAAAAATCTTTCATAATATCTTAACATAACTACCACATATATATGACATGAATAACTAATATAATTATATATTATAGGATAAATTAAATATATATTATATTATAATCAATTTTTTCTCTATAGTATTAAAAAAAGTACTACATTAAAAATTTTAAAATTATTATGATATTTACTAAATGTAACAATTTATAGTCAATGATGAATATATAATCATTATTTTTTTGGTTACATATATACATACTATGGGAAAAAAATTATGTAAATAATTTAGTTTTTCTGGTTTGTTAATGATTTTTTGCGGGAAATTATGGGTTTGCGAATTTGACAAACACAATTTTGTAGATTTTATGGGTTTTATAAATTTTAACGGATTTTATAAATTTTAGCGAAAAATATAGTTTTTCGAGAAAATGCCGGTTTGACAACAAATGTGCTTTTGCAGATTTAGCAGAAACACATAATTTTTGAAATTTTGTAGATTTTGCAGATTTTACGGGTTTATGGAAAAATACGGGTTTGCAAAATACGAATTACGCAATTTTGCGGATTTTATGGGTTCTACAGGTTTTAGCGAGAAAATGCGGGTCTGTGAGTTTGGCAGAAACACATGAGTTTAGAAATTTGGTCGTAAAATACAATTTTATGGATTTTATAAAATTATAAAAAACACGGGTTTTTGTGGATTTGGTGGGAAATGTGATTTTGCGGATTTTACGAGGTTTACATGTTTTTGCGGGTTTTATAGGTTTTGATGAAAAATGTGGTTTTATGAATTTTATTGAAAATGTAGGTTTGCGGGTTTGGCGATAAAATGCAATTTTGCAAGTTTGACAAAAACTACTTAATTTTAGAAATTTAGACATAGAATACGATTTTATAATGTTGGGGGAAATGATAATTTTTGGTTTTGTTAAAAAATGTGGGTTTACAGTTTTGGCAGGAAAATACGGTTCAATGGAAAATGCTATTTTTACAATTTCTACCAGAATTTTCGATTTTGGTACAACGACATGATTTTACGATTTTGCGGGAAAATGCGACTTTTTATTTTGATAGATAAATGGTTTTGACAAAAAAAACTTGATTTTGTAGTTTAAATTAAATAATATTTTTATCTGTTAATTTTTGATATTCAAATGCTGCATCAAATCTTTATTTTTTTAGCATTTTAAATATCCAAATTTTGAGATATTATAGAATCTCTATTCAGATAAAATATTCATATACTGATTTAAAAATATTTAAAAGAATAATATTTGAGAGCATTTGCATCCAAATAAGTATCTAGAGGTAAAAACAAACAAAGCCTAAGAATTTTAATTACAAACAAATAAAATATTTTTTTGCATTATAAAACATAATATTTTAAAATATTTGTTACAAAATTTTAAAAAAATCTGCTAATCAAATATTTTTTTCTATAAAATCAAGCCTAAATAATTTTAAAAACATAAAACCATAATGTTAAAATATTTTATATAATCTAATAAAAAATATCTGTTTGGACCATAATTTTAGATTTAATAATATAAGCTAATTTTTCATTTGAACAAAAATTTACTATAAACTGATTTTTGTTATGACGCAAAAATATTTTATAAAAAAAAATTCGCGCAAGTGCACGAGTCCAAAATCTAATGTAATCTTAAATTAACATATGGTTCAGCTTGTTGTTTTTTGATATAAGATTCTCAATTATATTACTCAGTTACGTTTTGTTGTCTATTTGAATTTTTTAATAGACATACAGTATATAGTGTATTTGTTGACTCATATTTTTTTTTTTTGATAAAATGTTGACTCATATTCCTTGACATAAGACAAAAGTATCAGCAGTCGAGGAATATGGCATATACAAAATGATACATAAGGTTTTGTATTGTAAATTTGGTAGTTAGTTTAGTTTAGTTTTATCTTGATATATATATCTGAATTTTAAACGTAGATAATGTATCATTTTTTTTATATAAAAAAAAAAATTGTTTTCGGTTTAGTTATGGTCCGGTCTACTCTTGACTCACATTACAGATTGGATTTGTAAACAAAATTGGATTTGATTATTCCTAAATTCATTTTAAAATGGATTCGGTCTCATAGACACCATTTGAACCTTACACGTGGATGAAGGAAGGATCGTCGTCTCGACTCATATTCCTAGATATAAGACAAAAATATCAGCACTCCAGGAATATGGCATATAAAAAAGATACATAGGGTTTTGTATTGTAAATTTGGTGTTAACTTAGTTTTATCTTGATGTATATCTGAATTTCAAACGTAGATAATGTATCATTTTTCTATAAAAAAAAAAAATTGTTTTCGGTTTAGTTATGGTCCGGTCTACTCTTGACACAGACTCACATTACAGATTGGATTTGTAAACCAAATTGGATTTGATTTGAATTCCTAATTTCATTTTAAAATGGATTCGGTCTCATAGACACCATCTGAACCTTTTGAACAAAAAAAAAAAAAAAAGACACCATCTGAACCTTACACGTGGATGAAGGAAGGATCGTCGTCTCGATTTTCGGGGGGTTTTGTTCGCTTGAAGTCGGTTCATGGCATCTCTTCATAAAACTATAAATAGAGAGCAAAGTCTGTGTGAAGTCGACACGGTAACAACAGGAAAAGCCAAGAGGAACAGTTTGAAAGAGATGGCGAATGTAGAGAAGATATCGAAGGCTGAGAAGGAATCATCTCGTTTCGAAGAGTTACGTGACGATCTCTTCCTTGAAGCAGCAAAACTCGTCACCGAAGAACCCTCCACCCGAATCGCCATCTTAATCACTCCTCCTTCCTCCGTATCGGCCTCTGCGCATTCCTTCGCCTATCCCTCTGTCGAAGGGGTGGTTCAGACGGTTCTCAACGATACCCGACCCGCTCCGGTATCAGAAGTTGCCGTCGAGAAGAACGATGATGATAAC